AGCCCTCTCAAAACTTCTCTTTAGGAAACGATTCCTGTGCATAATACTGAAAATCAGAAAATATTTTAAAGTTGTTTTAAAACCAGACTTTACAGAAGACATTACATTTAGTAGATCTTTTAATTACAGATTCTAAATAGGATATATAGGGCCGCAATTGAGGGGCATTCCATGTTCTTCTGTCTACAACTCTTTCCAGTAATACATGCCCTATTCAATCAATATAGTTAATTATTCTTCAGTCAAAGAAATGTAACGTATTTCACTTCAATTTCTAGTCCATTTAAACCAATTATGTTGTCTTAATCTTTCGTGACTAGCAATTAGTAGGTGGTAATTGTTCATCAGGACACTGATGAAGATTCTAGGGGCCACTTAACTCCTCCGAAGTATCTGCCATTTTGTGAGCTCAGCAAACGTATCTGCACCAAAGTTAAAGGCAAGCTAACATGGGAGAAGTCAGAATTTTTCATGCTCATGTTTCATTGTTATTTTTGTAACTATTTTTGCACTCCTCCACTACATGGCTGTGAAGTAGAAATTGATGCCTTATTGCTCTTCATTGTAATGCAGAAGCGCTGAGCTGTGGTTGGTTATAGTAGAAAACTTTTGTGATAAAATTTACGCCACAGCTTTAAATTCCCACCACCTCATTAAGCACCACTTCACAGGGAACAGATAGTGCCCATGTTTTCTTGGAGGGAGCTACAAGACATGCAGAGGGCACGCTGCAAAGCTTTGTAACAGTGTAAGATGGAATTGCTGCAGGGAGTTCATCTGGCTGAGATGAACAGCAATTACCTGCCTTAAACAAAACAACTGCAGTCAAGACAGCATCAAAACGTCAGAGCAGCTCCTACCAATTTCCGAGGATAAGGCTGATCAACGATTTGCCTTTGCAGAGGGGTGGAATGAAAGACATAAGACTATGGGATCAAAGTCTCATAGCATGGAATTTAACAGCCCGTAGAGATCTTCACAAGGTGTCTCAGAGAGCTTTTCCCCCATAAAACACAGCTGTAAGAAAACCTGCAGCAAATCCGTACATACAGAAGAGGCAATTACTTCCTTTGGGATTTGAACAAAACCAAAATACAGCGAAACAAAACAAAAAGTTGAGAAACATACCTTGACTTCCAGATGAAGCTTCTTGCGTTCCAGTGCTTGTGATCTCCAGTTGGGCCAACATGGCTGTTGTCGAGTTCTAACAGTTACCTACAGCTACTATTAGCGCCAATTAATGCAGCCTGATTTCTTCAAATGCGTATTGGGTGTGACATTTCAGTGAGTTGTCACTTTAGAGAAATTTTGTGTGTGATTATTCAGAAAGAATTTATGAAAAATGCTGCATTTCTACCCAAAGTACACATACTGTTTTCACAAACTGTGGTAAGTACTTAGAATGCAAACAATGTTGAAGAGGATATGCTGTATTCTTATGTTAAAGAAGGAATGCAACCCCCTTTGAAGTCAGTGTTATAACCTCCACCGTTTGAATAAATAGGTACACCTGCACTATATAGTCCTGGCCCTTTACACTTCAAATTGCCAGAGAGTCCATTTAGATTTTGGAACTTTCTATTCAGTACAGACATGTCGGCACCTAAATGTTTTATGTGCGCAGGAGAGTAGCCTTGGTTTCTCTGACTTAGCGCCCCAAAATGATGTTCAATTTCCTCTTTGCAGACTGTATGTTTTTTACCAGACACTTTTGCACTGTCTGAGCTCCAAACCAACTTCATGTAAGCAAGCTCCATCCAGAAGTGGCACAGCTTGTCTTGCGTAACACTCTAGCCAGATCTGCCTACCAAAAGGTTGCAGCCGTATGTCTACAGACAGGGCCTGACATTAAAACCAGACTTCTCAATTTGTATTCTGTGTGTAGTAATTTCATTTTGGGGCAAATTCAACACTGTGACTAACTCTTACGTGGTAACTAGGCAAACCATTATGCCCTTGCTTAGTGCATCTGAAGCCATGTTAATAACATCTTATTTTAAAGCACTTTCTTAGTGTCTCAAGCTGATGAATAAAAAAAAAAAGTAAAAAAAAATTGTAAAAGTCTTAAGAAATCTGTACTATATCATGTACTGAGTAATTCTGAACAAAAACTATTACTTACGAAACATCTTTCACCATAAGAACTGTCACAACTGCAGAAAGCTTTCTCTAGAGTATTTTTATTAGGGATTCCTGCCATCATATCAACATACAAAACAATCAGGATGTTGACATATAGAAATGTGAAATTCACTGTACAAAGATAAGGCTCAAGTTACAGGTATATTTTCCCCTTAGTCTCCATGAAATAAAACCATTTTTAATTCTTCCCAGAGTTGTGTTTATAAATGTTAGACAAACCACAAAATAGATTTCAAGTACATAACATTTTACAATATAATCCAAGCACAGACAGAAATACACAATACTGTACCTATAGATGCTCCATAATCCAAGTTTGTTATCCCCACCAATAAAATACTAGACTGCTACTCTCTCTGAACATTCCCAACCATATCCTTCTGTGTGTATTACGTGGTTATAGGACTCTCATGACTTTCAGTTAAATTACTTTGATAGACCAGAGAGTATCAGGAAGGAAGGAAAGAATTTTAAAAGGCCAGGCCTGAATGTATGCACATGGTTAGTAATGGCAGTCACATGCGCGCACACACACTTGCATTTAACCCTACATAAAACCTCACTGCACTGCACGTTTTCTGAGATTATGTTCTCATGCAACTCAGCTATTTTCTGACAGAGTTAAATCAAGCATAACAATATTCCTACATCTGGAGTGCTGTAATTTCCAGGGACATGACTGTATTTTTGAGCACAGGATCTAACTCTTTTTTGGTTTTTTTTTAATAATTATCAGATATAAGGAGCCTGTATGGAACCATGTCCCCGTAGTCCAGCAGAATGCCAGCTCTCACAGCCTTCACCACTTGAAAGACCTTTTCCAACACCTTTGTTCATAAACAATGCAAGTGAATAATTTCCCGTTAAGGCCAAATGTCTACTTTAGTTCACTCTCCATTTCTATTAGGCTTAATGATTATTACCCAATGGGAAAGGATCATTTAGCTGCAAGTAGCACAAGAAGAAATACCCATCAAGTAACTAATCAATAATGATTCTTCTGGGGAATAGATTGGCAAGGATAAACAAAGACAAGAGAAAAAAGGCCTTTGTTCAATTTAGTTGTTGGTTGGGAAATGAATAGCAATCCAAAAGCATTCAACTCAGAAAAGGAACTTCTAAGCCCTGTAACTGTTTTGTCCTTTAAAAACTGGAGAAGATTAGAAGGGAAGGAGAAATCCTCTAAGGAAACTGCTATTTTCAAGCTAGACATTTGCAAAGGCTTACATGAGAAAGCCAAGCAAAATTGATCCTCTGATACCGAAACTAAAGGAATTTATTCAGTAGGAATTAGAGATGTTCTTAGAATGTGTTAAATGCACATCTAATAAAACAGCCTCAAATATGTCTCCAATTCATAAATCTCTAAGCAGGAGAAAGACTCTGAGGACAAAATCAGAGTTCCCTAGTTCAAATACGAAATACATCTGCACTAAGATTGGGGGAGGCAGGGGGAGAGGGGAGAGGGGAAGAATAAAAACTTTCTCGTCTTAAATATAACCTCTGTAGTACATTTGAGGGCCTTCAAATGTTCTCAGCATTGACAAGATCTTACTTAAGTATATTCTCTAAGCTATATTGGAATACCTTTAGATATACAAACCCATGTTACATGAAACAGCATTAGGTCATGTAACTCGGCTCATAATAACAGGGAAAGTTTTATGTGAAAGGAAGCATATTAGTATGCACAGAAAATATGTTGTCTTAAAGATTAGTAATAACAGGCATCAAGGATGAAGATGCACTTCTCAAAGTGTTTAAGCTTTTAACTGTGAGTCAGTAGAATACTTTTATGTCAGCTGTACAGCCTAATGCTTTTAAAAAGGAATACATTTTTCTTCTCTATCATTCTTATAAGTAGGTCACACCTACTGATATAGCTAGGGTTTTGGCTTTTTTTTTTCCTTTTTTTTTTTTTTTTTGCTACTTACTATTATCTTCTTCCATGTTATGTACAATAATCTACATTTAGACTAAAGACTCACTCTCTTCCAAAACATACTTGGACTATCTTGTTGAGACTTTCTACAGCACTGATAAAGTTTAAGACAACCTGATCGGTAAGAGGAAGGATCATTACTTTTGGTTCTGCTCACTTCCCCAAGCTTTATAACTGTGCTTTTCAGAAATTCCTCTGCGTACTTGGTGTCCTTTCACCTCCCCCAGGCAGCCTCTACTGAACTTGAGTGAACTTTCTATATATTTCCCAAACCACAGTCCCTCTGTATAAAGCTATGTTAAACTCATTTATTCTCCTGCCAGTAATTTAAAAACAAATCATTGCTAAAACACTAAAAACACCCTACATGCCCTTGCTCATTATTCTTACCAATTTTTACATTTAAATAACATCAGAAGTTGTCTTTTGCTAAAAATTTACCAAAATATTTTAGACACATAAAAATGTAAAAAACCAAACAAACAGAAAAACAAAACAAAACAAAAAACCTCAGCATAAACATTGTTTGTATAGGCATTGGTTAGGAGAGACTGCTGCACTAAGGAATATATTCAAAAAAGTTATTCTTTCAGTTTTATTGGATTTAGTGTCCTGGATTGAACGGTTAAGGACAATGAAGCTTATTGTGACCCCATCTTATATGATGTCATAGATGAGCTGGAAGTCTGAAATGCAATTAAAATAAAACTTCGTTTTGGTTACTGAAAGGTGACTGTATAAGCCTGTAACTAAAGGGGCAATTTAAGTATGTAAAGGGAACTTAAGAACCTTAAGTGTCTGTAATGAACTGGATATGAAGACAGCTACCAACTGATGGCCCCAGGGGCATTATGGAAAGCTGGCACTAACTGACATTTTGAATATAGCCCTTAGTTCTATCATATTTATTTAAAATTTAAAAGCTGCCCAGCATATCACGAATGAAGTTTATTTTGCAAGCCACCCACTGCCTAAGGGGGCAGTAATATTCAATATGAAACTGCTGAAACTCCGGCGTCTGACGGATTTCATGAAGAAAAGAGATCTGAAGGTCCGACTCCAAGAGAACAAGGAGAAGAGGGAACACAAACAACAACAGTCCAAGGCCTACAAGGAGAAGTCTGGAGAAACTCTTCACAAAGGCATTCACCTCTATGTTGCCCATTAGAAAGTCATAGCTCCACCTAAGCGCTCTCCGAGCTTCTTTCAGTTCTTCCTCCTCTGCAATCAAAAATGCATTTTCATCTGCTTCCAGTTCCTCAAATGAATCTGTATCATCTTTCTCATTCTCTACTCTTGGACAGGTATCAAAGAGCATGTCAATTTCATCATCAACAGGAGTGGGCAGCAAGCTGGCACTAGGATTGTATACCAGTTCTGAGATGGTTAGAGGTTCCTCTTTCATCTTCTCCTCCTGTTCAATGGCAAGATCAACATTATCCCCAGTGTCCTTAACTGGGGAGCTTGAAGTCACAGGTACTGGAATCTCATCTTCCTTTGGTAGCTGGATACCTGAAAAAAGGAGATTAAAATAATGATCCTAAATTTCTGCCTTCCTGGTGGCAAAACTCAGTCTTCCAATAGTATCTAACAGAGGTTGGAAAGAAGATTCTGCAATCATTTTGCATATTGAAACCACACCATACACAATTGGCAAAAACTGGAAAAGGTTTTTGAAAAGCTCCAGAGGAGGGCAACATCTTTTACATCACTGCAGTACACCAGATCTGCTCAACTTTGTCTGATGCAGCTGCCACTAATAATGGTGTAATGCAAAACAGAACAACTCATTTGCTACTGGCAACCAGACTTCTGATATAAATGAGTACCTAGCACATATGTGAATTGGTGCTATTTGGTGTCTAATAATAATAACAACAACAACAATAATAATAACAACAACAGCAACCACCCACCTTTATTTCTTTGCGATGAATGAGAAAGTGATAAGATAATGGCTGACGTCGGGAATTTTTAATAGAGCATGACATTAAACAGAGATAGTAGATTATCATGATAAATTCATATTAACAATAGAGAGGATAAAAGGAGGGGAAGGTTGACACACAGTATGAGGATTAGGTATCACTGGAATGGAATGAAAATGCCTCACCTCTTTAAAAAGCTCCCTCTCCTCATGTCTCGTTTTTCTTCCAGTCATCTTTCTACTCTTCATACTTACAGCCTCTTTTCTCCCTCTCCTTTAAATTTCGCTCTCCTCCATACAGAGGAGTCTTTCTTCGCCTTGTTTCTTATAAGCTTCTTATGACCCCACTCTCTGCTCAAGCTCTCTCAAAATCTACTACCCTCTTTCCAGTCTAATACTAACAGCAGTAAGTCTGAAAAAAAAAAAAAAGTCTAGCTGTTTTGCAGCTACATCAACACTGCAGTGACTGTTGTTAGTCGTCAGTCGCAGGAGGGGAAGGGAGGAGAGTCAGACACAGAGCTTGGACAAAGTGATGTGAAACTAGCTTTAAATTTGCCCCACGTCCAACACGCATTGCCATCACCAGACGCCATGTATGTGCAAAAGGAACAGACCATACACGGTATCATGTGCAACACTCAGTACTTCTCGTTTTGTGCCAAGTACCTCTCCATTCTTTATTAATGACTAATCCAAATGCAACACACAGATAAGGATATAGCAAGTAAAACCAATACAAGGTTACACAGCTTGTCCAACAAGTAACTCGGGAAACTCATGTCAAAGTACTATTTATAATTCAAATTAGCACCATTCTCTGATTTCAGTGAAAGATCTCCATAAAAGATAGCAAACTGACATCATCAAAGATTCATTCCAGTTTTAGTGCAGTAAAGATTAAGGTTCAAAGAATTTAAAACAATGTGGTATGAAAGAAAATGTATTATTACAGAAAAACAAGTAATCAGAAAAGTACCTCTCCAGTGCTAATTACACGAGACATATAATGATTTTCAGTGTGAAGTAAAAGGGTCTGAGCAAGCTCTATTAAAATTTTCTATTAAAGGATGGCAAACATATAAAAAAATTAACTACCCAAAAGGCCCATTATGGTCTTTTTCAGATGAAGGAAATAAAGCATGACCTGAACCATGCTATAAGGAAGAGATGCATCACTGTTCCGGAAATATATGATATAGCAAAAAATTGAAAAGCAAAAATTCCAATCATAAAGACATATACAATATAGGAAGATACAAAGCTTACACAATTCTAAGCTACAATTTTAAGTAGTAACTCAACTATAATGATCAAAATTCTGCAAAGAATCTCACTTTGAGATCAGAAGCCTTTTCACATTTTTTCTTGAAAATGTCACTAATTTTTTTTTATACATTATTAGTCCTAAGAACTGTAGATAGCATTCACTGTACTGAAATTATTAACTTTGTTTCTGAAACTTACTTTCCCTCTACTTGACTAGATAGCAAAAGAATATTCTTACGCCATTGGCTACTGATGATTCAACTAGCAGTAGGCATAATTACATTTCAGTGAAGTTGGTGATACTTTCTAGACATTCTCACTGTTACACATTTTGCATTGCTTGAATGACAAGGTCTTACAATCTCTATTTTCAATTACTGTTTGGTTGGTGGTTTTTTGGTTTTTTTTTTCCCATTTTATATCTACCAGGACGACCGTGCTCAGGACACGACATATCCACAAGAATCTCAGTTTCATAACTGATACCAGATTTGTGCACTACCAGCTCACTCAGCAGTAGACCTGCCCTGAGCCAGACACAGGTGCATGATCAGATTTCTGCCAGAGCCCCAAATACTCAGTATTTGCAGCAAAATCTGCCAATACAAAGTTAACATGTCAGAATTTTGTAAATGAAATTAAACAAGCAGATTAACACTTTGTGAGATGGGGCTGCTGCACTAGGAATCTTAAAGCTTTTTTCCGCATGGAAATAGCTGCTATAGTACCTTGCTGTATGCCAGAGTGACTGACAGTTACCACAAAATCCTCCATGCAGCCTCTGCAGCTCTATTAGCATGTTCTCCAGACAATCAAAAGCTACTTGCTAAGTTACCCCAGTTTATAGACTTCCCAAAAATTGTGTGAGTGATGGCTTGTTAGTATCTGGTAACTTTAAAATGATACCAAAATTAATACCAGCTGGGATGAAATGCCAATAAATCCAACATAAATTGCATGACCTATTACAAATATTTCTAAAAGACATAAGCAATGACAGAAAAACTGCACTTTAAACCTACTTACATTAAATCACTCCTTGAACAAGCCAGCTGACTCCTTACCTAACAAAGCAACTTTCTGGATCCCCTTCTTAATGCATGCTTTTATGTGTCATGTTGTGTTCATTAGAGAAAACCTCTTCATTACAGAACACCACCCTTAGAAAGCATCCCCCTGCAGTAGAGCACATTAGCTATTAAAATTTATTTCTCCTTTTAAGTCTTCCAAATGGCCTAGACAAATCTCTCCCCTGTATTTTGTTATCTTTTCCTGCTCTCTAGGAGATAAGTTGCCCATGCCTCTAGGTGAGATTTCACCTTCTTGCTAAGTCAACCAAATAATACCATTTCTGCTTCCTCTCATTTCATCCCTGAGCAAGCCAGCTTGTAAAGCTAACCTGGGAAAATAACTGTTTTTCTTCCTGGTTTAGTTCTCCGATGGGTTTTCTTCCTGAACTGACTTGTCAGATGTACTCACGAGCGCAGCACGTTACCGGGGACAAAGAGAGAGCAGGAGTGCTCCTTCCACCAGCACCCAGCCAGCAGATCTACAGAGCTGAAATGAAACCTTGTCCTCAATAAAGAAAATGCAGATGTCTCCTCATTAGCTTGATTTGACTGCCTACCTAATAATTCCTTAACTCAACTACACTGGCCTCTCCTGTCACAGACATTTTAGAAATTCATCACATTTCAGCATGAAACATGTTTTGTGCTGGAACTTAACTGTCTACACCAGTCTTTGCATTAACAAATATACGTGCCACAGTCATCAAGAGGAGGATGCAAACTGATTGAAACTAGACACAACAGTATGTGAACACTCAGAAGAGAAAACAGATTTGGGGGGATCTTTCTCTTAAGCAGGTAATGCTGGATCATCAAACCATACTCTGAGACATTTGAGAGTGCACTCATGCACTCATGTCATATCTTAAAATATAAAAGCCCATTTTTTTAAACTCTGGAGGCCAACATTAAGCACCTACATGTCTTTAGATACACAAGTACTACAATCTGATTTTCAAATGTGCTTTTCACTTTCACTTAATAGGACTGAAAGGTTAAGTTGAGCCACTTACTTAGGCAGCTCAGTAGGGATTAAAGGGCCTAATTTTAACCTCCCAAATTTGAGAATCCTCACCATAGGCCTATCTATACCTGCTTAGATGCAAGGTCAGTAATATATCTTCATCATGTTTCTCATCATAGAGAGGACAGCTGCAGTTACTGCAAAGAAAGGTCACCCCAATCTGATTCTTGAGCCTCTTCTCCTTCCCCAGAGTAAATTCCAGCATGCATAACATACATAGTGAACATAACAAGAAAGATCATATTAACTTTCATTAAAACTGTGTTTTGCTCAAATAACTGGCAAATTTCTGACTTCATGATTAACCTGTAGACAGAAGGCAGAGGAGGAACCCTTTCAGATCAGTGTTTTCTGAAGGACTCGAGTTAAAATTGGAATGGGTCGCAGTCCTGAAGCATACACCAACATTACAGTCCACTATTTAGTTTGAGTGGACAATTTAAAAGCAACACAATCAGAGGAAAGGACACATGAAATTAAACCAGTTACTACTGCCAATCCATGCTACCCCTACCCCTTTCCTAGTTTGGTAGTAAAAAAATTACATCCTATTCCATAGCATCAAAGCCAAAAAAAAAAAAAATTGAACTGGTTTATGTGTTGTTAAAACATATTACATCAAAATAACTGTATTTTACATCAGCCAAATACAAGTATAAGTAAATAATATTCTAACATTAAAAAAATAAAAATTTGGAATGGACATTAACTGCTACTGTTGCAAGCTCATCTGATATTTTAAAAAATAAATATATAAAGACGTTCTTTTCATTCCTTCATATTCCCTATAACACCACAACATTTCTCAAGTCCAGGATTGAAGAAACAATTAGCTATTAACTATGGTCAATGTAAGCCCACAGCAAAGTTCCAGTCATGTTGCAATACACAGATAAGTATGTTGGGCCACTCAGATGTTGATGGTGTCATAAGACACAAGTGTAGTTTCGTTGTGGCACATATCACCTGCAATGCTTGTGCAGGCATAAGAATATCACATTAAAGCACTGAAATTCAAAATCATTCTACAGTACAATAAATATTCCAGTGACAGAAATTTAACAAAGGGGTAAGTTTTTCCGATTATTTACTTTTTGAATAGCCTTCAATAGAGTCAGTTATCTGAAGTTATAAAGTTTGCCAGGGGAAAAAAAGAATATAAAAGCTAAAGCAAGCTCAAAGCCAATAAGCTTTAAGTCCCCTGCAACATTTCTGCAAATGCTCT